AAGTCTGGTGATGCGAACAAATCCAGGTAGTGCTCTCGCATCTCATCCTCCAGCTCCCATGTCCATTCAGAGCCCCTTTGGTGCTTCCATTGCACCTTCACTAGCTTGACCTCTTTATTACGAAGGACCTTGACTTTCCTATCCAAAACAGCCACATGCCGCTTAATGTAGTTCAGGCTTTCATCCACCTGAATACCATCCAAAGATATAATCGCAACCTCGTCTGTGACACACTTCCGAAGCTGAGACACATGGAAGGTGTTGTGAATTTAGCTAAGCTCGTCCGGCAGATCCAAACGGTAAGCCACCTTGCCCACCCGGGCCGAGATCCTGAACGGGCCAATATATCGGGGCCCTAACTTGACCTTCTTCCGGAACTGAATAACACCCTTCCATGGTGATACTTTTAGAAAAACGAAGTCTCCCACCTGGAACTCAAGATCCGATCGACACCGGTCAACATAGCTTTTTTGACAGCTCTGTGCGACTCGTAGCCGGTCGCACACATGTTGAATCAACCCGGTAGTCTGAATCAACCCGGTTGGACCCGATTTAAAAAAAAAAAATTGTAATCTGTGAAAATTTTTATACAACCTAAATTCATTCGTTTTAAGTTGGACTGACACGTGGTTTTTTCCAACGTTTCATTTATAGATTGTAGATGAATTTAGACTATAATTTTGTTGACTTTGATATTATATTTAATGAGTTACAGTCTTTCAAAGTTGAGCTATCAAAGCTGAAAATTTTCATCTTTTCAGCAACATTTTTAAAACTTTGTAATATGTGAAAATTTTTAAACAACCATAACTCATTCGTTTTAAGTCGGATTGACACGTGGTTTTTTTTTTCAACGTTTAATTTACAGCTTGTAGATGAATTTAGACTATAATTTTGTTGATTTTGATATTATATTCAATAAGTTAGTCTTTCAAAGTTGAGCTATCAAAGTTGAAAATTTTCAGCAAGATTTTTAGAACTTTGTAATCTGTAAAAAAATTTAAACAACCATAGCTCTAAGTCGTATTGACCTGCGGTTTTTTCCAACATTTAGTTTACAGTTTGTAGATGAATTTAGACTATAATTTTGTTGATTTTGCTATTATATTCAGTGGGTTACAATCCTTCAAAGTTGAGTTATGAAAGCTGAAATATTTTAGCTTTTTAACTATTATTTTAGATTATAATTCTGAATTTTATGTATCTTTTACAGATAAATCATATGAAAGGGATCTTGGTGAACTTGATTTATATGTTAGTTGCTTTTATTTGTAATATTAATTTTGCAAGTTATAGTATTATAACATCAAGATAGATTAGTTATGCATGAAACGGAAACGTAATCATTTTTACAAGTTGTATCATATCAAACCCAATAACTTATTCGTTTTAACGAGTTCTATCAAACCCAAAAACTTATTTTAATGACTTGTACTCTATGCAATTACAGTTGTACCGGTCCAAACGGGTCCAAGAACCAGAAAACCCGGACCTAGACCCAGACACCGACACGGACACGACTCATCCGGTCCAGTCAACGGTCCACAATATTCTCCATAATCGGTCCGGTCCAAGAGTCAGTCCAGTCCGGTTCGGTCCAAATGCTAACCTTATTTGACATGTTTATAAATGGTATAGATGATATTTTCATCTTCGATTTATAAGAAGAATATATTGGTATAATAGTCAATTAATAAAAACATAAATTTAAAATGATTATAAAAATTAAAGATTTGAACAAATTTGATATTTTAAAAGCTTATAAAGGTTAAATATGATATTTCAAATTATAGACAAATACGAAGTATTCGATGTCTAAGAAGAATATATACGAAATTGTTTATTTTCTAAAACTATTGTACTCGTTATGAGCGAGTTCTTCATTGATTTACTATAATAAATTAACATTATTCGATCTAATAAACTTTTCACATGACCTAACAATTGTGTATTTTTCATTGTTATATTATAGACTAGGTCACTACAAGAAATGTTAGCATTAGCGGCGACACCAGGTAATAGCGGTGACATGTATTAGCGGCGACGGATGGCTATTAGCGGCGACGGATGGCTATTAGCGGCGACGAAAGCAATAGCGGTGATAAGTAACCATTAGCGGCATCTGGATGTGAATTAGCGACGAAGTATTACCGACGACGCATCTGCAGCGACGTGTCGCCGCTAAAGGTATTAGTTGCGACAACCTCAACCATTAGCAACGACAGACGTCGCCGCTAATACCCATATTTCTTGTAGTGGGTGTGAGACCCATGTATTACATGGGTTTATTTAAAAATATATATATATGAAATTTTAACAATTTGAAAAGTTTGAATTTGTTAGAATAATGAGAAAATTTTTGAATTATTAAAATTAATGAGGCTTTAATGTATTGAATACATTACATATATACACAATTTTTAATAAATACCTGACATATATATTACCTTACATATTAAATGTGGAATTTTAATTTAATAAAATGAAAAATATACAATAAAATGACAAGTGAAAAATAAAAAATTTAAAAATTCTACAAAATGTCATGCGTTTAAATAAATGAGAACAGAACATGTGGCAAAAGAAACTTTCATTTATCAGAGTAGATGTGATAATTGTTGCCGCATTTATTTAAATATGAGTATATGTCACAAACATAATGACCACCTTAATTACAAAGACACCTTCTGAATTTGCAGCATATATTTTCTTTTTCTGGAAAAAATAAAAGCGACATCACGAGGTTCTTTCGAGATGCATTAAGGTTCCAATTAATTTATATCATATCGCCTAAATTACCATCTTCATTGTCTTAATTCTTCCATGATTTTAGCTTTGGTTAATGGAAGCACGACTAAAGAATTCCATACGTCAAGGTGATCTGTTATCTTCTCTCCATTTTATTCTTGCAATGGATGGATTATATGTTGTTTTTTTCAAGAAACCGGGAACAATAATTTTTTTCATGGTGCTTAACGGATGATGTGAAATTTATTGCTCGGCTAGTTGCATATTTTGATCTTGCATCGTATCTAAAATAAATCTTCGGATGGGATAATATTATGGGTTCGTGGTGGCATTGGAAGACGTCGGAGAGAACATATCATAAAGGGAGAGGTGAAAAGACTTATTATTGGACATGAGATCTCAACCTAACCTGATGATTTTATATTGTTTTGGCATCTAGGAATGATATAGACTCTCACACTTTGATGATTGGTTCTAATCCTACTCGGTGGAATATATATATATATATATATATTATATATATATATATATATATATATATATATATATATATATATATATATATATATATATATATATATATATATATATACTTGATCCAGTCAAATTAAATATTTTGGCTTGGTGTGTCGTATCCCCACAAGGATAAATTTGGACGATAGATTGCAATTCTAGTCTGGAATCGATTGATCGCATTTTCAACTAGCAGTTTCGTTTTCGGGTAATGTACGAGTTGGAGGGATTTGTTGAACCATGTTTACGATTACACTATGGATCAGTTGCGTTGGACAGACAATACGACTCTTTTGAAGAATCTTATAATTAATTTGTTTCGATGTGGTGATCCTTTCGGCATTTTGGGTAATATGGAACAACGTACAAGAATGTTATGGCTTTTACGCAAAATGCCTTCCTTCACACCTATCTTAGGCTTGAGGGGTTGGCTCGGTGCCACCCTTCGGCAAAATGACATGGACTCGGTAGTGGTAGTACCAAGGGAACACTACAAGGTGAACTCGGCAGATGAACTCTCTAATTCCTTACACATGAGAGAGAGTTCAAATTCCATATTTGTTCCTATTTAATTTTTCTTTTTCTAATAACTGAAAAATATTCAACATGTCATGACAACCCATCCTTTTTTAAGTGTCAAGATGGTGAAGAGGTATGACAAATATGATGAGACACCTACATAACAGAAAAAATAAACATGACAAAAACGGCACTACTCCCAAAATTTCAGAATTTTATACTTGTTATATGTTTTTATATATAATGGACCCGTTCACTTCCATCTGAATCTGCCACCAGTTGCACCTTGCATTGATACATTTTTGTTTGAAGTAACTTTAAGTGAGATTTATAATTCACGTAGAATAACATCAATTTAGGGGAGATTATATTTTCATGGGTTCGTGGTCACAGAGCTTATCTTGATCAAATTGTTTAGACGAATGGAACCCCAAAATCTGAAGGTAAGACCTGTTAACTCTATTATTATGAGTTTGAGCTGCGGGTGTGAATTCTAGGGTTTGGTTAGAGGTGGGACTTATATTCCCATGCAAAGTTAATAAAATCAATTTTAAAGGTACGGTTTCCTAATTCAATGAAAGAATGCCAGACCATTAATTGGAGCATCGGCTAAGGAATGCAATCTCAAATTCTGTCCATTTGGTAACAAAACATGCCATGGAATGTAATCTGAAAATTCAATTCCATTAGATTCGAAAGCAACTACAAATCAACCACATCCTTAGTGTTTGTGGGGAAAAAAAAAAAAAAAAAAAAAAAACAAGACAACTTTTTTGGACGAGCATGAAAGAAGATGTAATGACATGACTTCTTTTAGGAAATTGATAGAGTAGTTTAATGCCTATAATTAAGGAAACAAGAGAGAACAATAAACCATCACAAGTAAGAATGCATGCTCCAAAGCTCTAAATTGCAATGTGGCCATCATATTTCCTCGACTTAATTATGTCAAATTGTCAATAACTAGTAGAGTCACACCCACCAAACAAAAGTAGGATTTCACATGGAAAGAAAAAGGAGATCCAGTTATCTCAAGAACATTGTTTTGTTCTGAGTTGGGCTCATAAACAACAAGTTTAGACCCTTCATTATCATCATCATCATTTGGCACATGCATTATAGGTACACCAGTCTTCCTAAAGCCCACAATTTCATGTGGTGTCTTTATTGTGAATAGCTTTTTAAATGATCTTTGAACACCATGATCCATCGTCCATACATTACAAATGTTTTCCTTGTACTGAATCATGGCAAGCTAAACCATCTGGGAGGTCTATCATTTCAAAATTCTCATGAGTCAAATCAAATGAAATAATCCCATTATGAGTTGCTAACTCGGCACGCCAATAGATAAATCGATCAGTAACTACTACCAAACCCGAACTTGAAAGTCGTTTAGGGGGCAGATTGGTGGATAGATTTCTCCATTTCCCCGAGCTCAACGTGTAAACCATAACTTTGCAAGGGGAACTGGCTTCGATATTTTGGTAATCCCAAGATTGTGTAATTGAAACAATCTTAGGGTCACTAGTGACAGGACAAACCCCAAAACCAATAAATGATCGGCCAGGCACAACAATATCAATGGATCTTCCAATCGAAGGATTCCAAAGAACAACCATCCCAGTTGTAAAAGTGAAATCAGAGCCGAAAAAGCAAATCAAGCCATGAGAGCTACCAACTACCTTTGGATGAATAAGTTGTTTAAGGAACGGGGGAACAATAGGAAGAGACCTCTGTTGGGGGAGCGTGTCATCATCGACAAAACTAACATAGTTTACCTCATCTATTGGATCTTCATATGATACAAGCAGATGCTGCGGATGGATGTGGCCGTGGGTGCTGTGAGCAGCAATAAACGCAGAGCTATCGATCACAGACTTCCATGCTTTTGAGACGTACGCATCTGAACTCAATCAGTGATCTCACGGGAACCCATTTCATGATTTCCTCTTGAATATGGAAAGGTATGTTGTCTGACATTATTGGACTTGAATATGAAGGTCGATTGCTTGTCTGATATTCTACTTCAGGTAGGCCATGGTGATCTCCCTTAATTATCAATTTCAAAAAAAATAAACTACAAATAAAATTAAAAAACCAATTAAGTAACCACACATAAATAAAATTAAACATAGCAAATTAGAAGCTTAATATATCGTGCCTATTGTACTTCATAGCACAAATCTAGGGTAAATCGCAAACAGAAAGCCCTTCAGAAAGAGAGAGAGACATACCTGATTGATTGGAAAGATTGTGTAGTGGCGATTGTGAAAGGCTCATGTTTTCACCCAAAGAGGTCGTTAACTCAGAAGGCAGACCAGGGTGGTGGTGGTGGATAGCGACGGCGTATAGGACGGTGATGGTGTTGGGGAAGAGCAGGTGTAAGAAACGGGTAGACGAGACTTTGCTTAAGAAGGGGGGAAAGAGGAAAAAGTGTTAAGGCTAAAGGGCGGTGGCCACGTAGACGCCATACAAGCGTTTGTTACTTTTTTTCTTTTTTTAATCTACGGATTGATGTTTTGTAAAAAGGGTTAGGCTATAGGGTGGTGGCCACGTTAAACGCATACAAGCGTTTGTTACTTTTGTCAATTTATTTTATCTAGTGATTGATGTTTTTGTCTATAGTTATTTTTTTCAAAAGTAAATAAATGTTATCATCTAATAAAAACCAAATAAATCATAAATTTTACTAGACTACTTAGAAAAAGAATAACATGAAATTAAAACTATATTATAAAATTTAGAAAAAAATATATATGTGAAATTAAAATTACATTAGAAAACTTTAAAATATAACATAAAATTAAATTTTCATTTTCATTGTAGATTATATTTAGCCCGAATTGACGTTTTAACTGCCTTAACCACTTCTTGATCTTGGGGTTGAGGTGTCTCACGTCTTACATTAACAATTCTTCGTGAGTCGGACGGTTTCGGTCATATGTTTCTCCAAAGTTAGATTCAGTTGTATCATTTGTGTCATCATTTCCTCGGAGGTTAACTATCTGGTTCCGACCGACGAAATTGAAGATGTCGTTTTTTTTTTTCTTTAGCTTTTGCTTTGTCCCTTCCCATGGGACAAGGATGCGGTTGTATTTCTTCAATGTCATCATTTCCATCATTAAGATCAACGTCAATGTGACAATTCGATGACATATGTTGTGAGCTCAAATATGAAGATGTTTTGTTTCTTTTGGATTAAAGGAAATGTCTTCATATTTTCCAAATTCCCTTCACCTAACATTTTTTGGAACATCCCAAACATGCATGAATTAAAAAGGCTTTAGCATGTTATCTTGGAATGTCGTGTGCATTTTTTTCAACAAACTTGTGTCACTTTCTCCGCTAGCCCATTGTTTTTCAAAGTTTGTGTAAATTATGTTTTAATGCATGACGAGCTTGTTTACATTACCCCATTTTAATTTGCATTGGTCATGTGTCCGATAATCTTGACTTCAACCCCTGCGCCTACAAAATTAATCTGTAACATGTATCCAAAATTGATCACGCGATGGTTCTTCCCAGAAGCGTTATCTTCTAATATGTCTACCCATGTCTTCGCTAATTTTGTCTCTTCTTTTTTACTCACATCTTTTACTTTAGGCTCTCCTTTTTTTTAGTTGAGTTTCTTGTTCGGGATCGGAATCGAATGGGTCTTCGGTTAAGGGTGTTGAAGGTGGGTGGTGATGTAATTGGAATTGGAATTAGGTTTGTGTTTCGTTTGGGGGTGTTGTGTCTGGTGTTTGGTATTGGAATTGGAATTGCTGTGGTAATGGTTTGACGTTTGGTGGAAACACTTGTTTTGACATTCGGAAATGTGAATAGTAGCTAGGAACATCACATACAAACATTTGTTTATAAAAAGTTGTATTTATATACGAAAAAGATATTTGATTAAATATTGTATTTACGTTTTTTTGAAATGTTATGTCTTTATATATATATATATATATATATATATATATATATATATATATATATATATATATATATGAGTTTTTTATGTGGTTATACCATTTAAAACATAAAAAAAAAAATGTTTTTAGAATTACAAATATGGATTTTATAGATATAATTTTTAGAAATATAAATACAGATTTTTATATTTTTAGAAATATTAATATGTATCTATATTGTAACACCCATTTTCCTGAAGATGTCTGCGGAAGACCTAATAGGATCTAGATGGGGTTTTTGGAGAAAAACCTTATGTCAGGACGTGGTGCATAGATGACCACAACATGACATGGGATCTAAGAAACGCCCATTTATGGTAAGCACCACGACATGACAGGTAGTGTGCCACGACATGGTGGTTGTTGCAGCCCAAGCCTGTGAAGATTAGGTTTTCTTCCATATTTAAAGACTCTAACTCCAGGTTTAGGGTATTCCTTTCATCCTCCATCTTCCCCTTTGATAAACCCTAGCCCCTTCTCTTTTTCTCTTATCCTCCTTCTCATATATTGTGAAAGTGTACCATGCTTGAAGGAAGGCTATCATCTCTTTAAGCTTGAGTGTTTATCTCCAGAAGCGATCTAGCCTATTAAACATCATTTGGACCTCTTTAAGTATTCAAGTTCCCAACTTTATGGCTTTAGCTTTCTAGATCTAGAGTTTCATGTCTCTTTCATGGTAGTGGTTGAAGTTCATGGAAGAACTCCAAATAAAGCTTGCGAGTTTAGCTACCTTGGATGTCCCTGGAGTGTTCTACCTTGTGGATCTAGAATTTGAGTATGGTTTAGAGCCATACATGTGTTAAAGGTCACATTTTGTCATTTTGACATAGTTTTGGTGGAGGCATGCATCTCTATAAATTAATGATTTTTATGAATTATCTTAGTGAAATGAAGCCCTCTATAAAGTATCATAAGTTGTCTTAATGGATTATGTAACATCCAAAAATTTAAGACCAAAAGTTTCATTTTTAAATAAGTTGTTATAAAAACCAATTGTATAAAACATTCATGATATAATCCCATGTCAAAATGAGTATGTGAATAATCAAAACATGTTATTATAAATCAAAATCAGAGTATAATCCCAAAGATCTAATGTGCGGAAAAACATAGTGTGATGCACTGTGATCCTGTCGGCTCCGTTCCTTTTGAAAAAGAAGTACCTGAAACCAAAATTGTAAACCATAAGCACGAAGCTTAGTGAGTTCTCCATCATACCACATACCATACAATAAACATATTGCCAGGCAGATCTGGGTGTCCGACCTACCCTGCTGAGCATATCTGGGTACTCAACCTACCCTTGTCAGGCATACCGCGGTGCCCGACCTGCCCTTGTCAAGCATATCTGGATGCTCGACCTACCCTGCTATGCATATATGGGTTCCCGACCTAACCTCCAATTTATTTCAACCGGTTACGGGGACTATTTCACCCCTACCACTAGCACATAATAGCATAACATAGCATACTGTCAGGTATATCTGGGTGCCTGACCTACCCTGCCGGTTTATTCCACCAGTTACAGCGACTATTTCACCCCTACCACTACTACATAATAACATAGCATAACATATTGCCGGGAATATCTGGGTGCCCGACCTACCCTGTTGATTTATCTCAACCGGATCTGGGGACTAGTCCCCTTCCTACCACTATCACATAATATCATAGCATACTATCACAAATAGCATAATAGATAGTGGCATACCAGACAATTATCACAAAGACAATCATCTCTCCTATAATCAACTACTAGTGGGCTGATATTGGTGCCTTCGATCCACTTGTACTGGAATATAACTCACCTCATACTGTTGAATTCCACTGCAAGAGTTCCTTAGTTGTTGTTATGGCAACTCCTCGAGCTATCAATACCCAAAACATCACCCAGTTAGCAATTTGGTCTCAACCCATGATCTAAAACCCTTAATAGGGGTGAAATGACTGTTTCACCCCCAACCCATCAAGGTACATACAATATAATCCATGAAATCCCATTAATGGCTCAATTTTCCAAATTGGGCCCAAACCCTTAAATAGGACTACCCTCTAGAATCCATTTCGTACTCCATAACCCTTCAAGGGTCGACCTTGGTCAAAGTCCATGTTAAAGCCAACAATCTGGTCAAAGTCAACATCCTAGTTGACTCAACTCGTCAAGTTGGTCCATCAACTCATCGAGTTCCATGAATCAGAATCCCTGAATCGCGGTCCAACTCGTCGAGTCACCCCTTGACTCGCCGAGTTCCCTGGCTACTCATGGTCTCGATAAAGCGAATTAACTCGTCGAGTCCCTTCACAGAATCGTCGAGTTCTGCCTTAAACTAAATCGGGACATGACGACTCAACTCGCCGAGCTCCTTTGTGGACTCACCGAGTTCCATGAACAGAATCGGAAATATTCTATCGGACTCGTTGAGTTCCTCTATGAACTCGTCGAGTCCCTTGCATTCCTAGACTATCCAACTTTTTCCTCAAATGTAAGGTTCCAGAATACAGATCCATATTGTTTCCATAACCTATTTCTGTAAAGTTGACAACTTGACCCCACACTCGAGATATAGCAATCTACTTCCATGAACATGGCCATTTTTTGGAAAAAAAAATGGGTTTGAGACCCTTTTATGATTTTATGGGCCAAATATTACTGGAAAGTGGGAATCCTTAACATACAATCCATGGAGGGCATCATTTTTTCCAAAATACGGTCAAAAGACCCATAAATCAAACTAGAATAGATCTAAGAAATCATTGAGCATGTTGGAGAGTTGCTTACCCGAAAATGCTAAGAATGAGAAGATGTTTCTGGATCTAAGAGCCTCTTCTTGAATCCCCATGCTTCTCCTTATTCCACAAGCTTCAATGCACACAAACTCACTCAAAAATGGCTCACACACTCTCACAAGGCATTAGGGTTTTGAGATTTAGGGTTTGGGGCTTGGAGGCTAGAAATGAGGTCAACACCCTAGAGTTAAGTTGTTTAAATAGGGCGAAAAATCCTAGATTTAGGGTATCCCAAACCCAATCCAACTACCCAACTCGTCGAGTTGGTTTCTACTCCCGCTTCCCAAATGATTCCTACTCGTCGAGTTTTCCTCCCCGAACTCAACGAGTTGCCCATTCTAATGAAGTTTAATTTTATTTTATAAGTCTTCTAGATTCCGGGTGTTACAACTCTCCCCCACTTAAATTAGACTTCATCCTCGAAGTCCACCACAATCACCTATTCCGAAAATGGCTCACACAATAAGCTCGCGGCTCCCAACAATTGCCATGAACCAATTGATGTTTCTTACGAGAACTGACACCTGCCATCTTAAGGGTACAAACATCACCCCGCGTGATCAATGGCCTTCCCAAGGCAACCGAAACTTCTATCCTGGAGATATCACTCGAACCTTCAACCTTTGCAAGCTACTTTTACCTTCTGAGACATGAAACCTATCATAAACTGACTTCCTGACAGCTCGCCCGTGCTAAAACAACTGGAAACAACTCTCCGTCAATCCCTCAACTGCTAGCAGAACAATCACAACCCTTCCAACTCTGTGAAGAATGACTCCTCAATCTCTGTAACGCCCGTAGATCCGGGCTAGTCAATTTAGAGGCAATAGGGGTCGAAAACGACTTTTTGACCAAAGAATATTTAGAATAAATAATCTTAACCAAGTTGTGGAATAAATAATCACACATGGGAAGAGTTACTCAAAGCCTTCAATAGCAAGTTCTATCCCACCTCCCGGATATCAAGTCAAAGAAGTGACATTTTGGGGATTTATCAAGGGGAGAATGAGACTTTTCATGATTTTTGGGAGCGATTCAAAAACTTGTGTACAAGTTTCCCTCAACACAATATACCCGAAAAATTACTTCTTCAACAATTTTATGAGGGTATGAATGAAAAAGATCAAAGGATGATTGATGCTTCAAGTTGTAGTGACATCTTCAACAAGACACCTCAAGAGATAAGATCACTTTTTGGAACCATTTCTCAAAATCAAAGCAACTTCGGGACTCGAAATGAAAGGAAGAGAAATTCTCCACAAGTGGTTGGTGAAGTTAGCAACACCCAACACTTGGAATCAAAGCTCTTATATTTGACTAATGTGTTAAGTCAAATGGTGGTGGGAAGTGGTCAACAATTGATGGTGTGTGGTATTTTT